CGACACCAACAAACTTTTTACATTTAAACTACATGATGAAGCGGCTTTATGTGACGCACTAATGTCAATTTTTTGGACGCTAGTGCGTTGGTTTTTTCTCGATAAAATTGTTTGTCGGTAAGTTAAATGCTAGCTTGTGTTTAGCGCTGTGGTCCAGCGTTTTCATCTCTGTGGAAACTCAATGCATAGCAGATGGCTGGTCCGGAAAAGACAAATGTTTGAAAAACCGAACGGTTAGAATGAAACCTTGAAGATGATTTTCTGGTATTCCACGTAATTTGATTTATTCAATTGTACAATCTGCTTTTCGTTCGGGTTTAATGCCATTTCATTTGAGTTGACTAAAGCCATAACATAGCATTGTTGCTTTTTTGGTAATGTCGTCAATTATGTAGTTTATTTTTTTTACGCACACATTTACAAATTTTTCCGGCATTATCGATAATCTACACTAAGGGACCTTTAAATTTGCGTCATTTCCTCTCGATGGTTTGCGCATGCGTAGCAAGCGTAGACTTTTAAAATATGATTTAATAATTAAAAGTATTTTTTTCAATCGTTTATCATTCTACTGTGTCGTCAACAGTTATCATAATGGAAAAAGAAAAGTACAGCACAACAATAAAACCCAAACATGAGTAGCAGCACACTGTCAATGAATATGGGAAACCTGAACAGTGGATGTTAGGAGTATTAGTAAGTAATTATTGTTGCTGTGTGTGGTGTTGATTGCAATCTCAATTATTATATAGGTATGATGTGTATGTATTGTAAAGAATACCACATTACACCAATGATATGTACTGTGTATATAAGCAGAACTACTATTATTATGAGGATGTTGTGTGAAGAAGTATATAAAATAATTAAAAGTGTTGTATATGAAGAATCTCAGTCGCCAAGGTCAAGGTTGAGAAGTTCTGTTAGGCAACTGGACGTGACAGTTTCTCAAGAAGACGTTTCGCCTCTCATCCAAGAGGCTTCTTAAGTTTGAACTGGTGGAGGGGAGTATAGGAGATATATACTGTGGGTGGGACAAAAATAAAGGTAGTTCAAGTCCCTCCTGTGGGGTAGGCCGCCGGGGTCATCTGGGTCGTTGTAATCCTCATCAGAATGGTTTCAGTATGTGGGTGATAGGTTGCGTCTTGGGCCACCTTTTCTGTTGAGTGAAAATGTCATGTCCAGTTGTCCGAAGGAGGTCTTCAACAGAAGAAAAGAGATATTGTTTTTCTTTTAACTGTTGTACTTGTCATTGTTTATAAATGTATGGAATTGTGACTCTCCAGTCATTTGGGCTCGAGACCTCCACTGTAAAGTAGAACAAGAGCAATAAGTGAATGATAAATGTATTTGAAGATATGTATTGATAGTTTGTTATACAAGGTAGTGGGAACTGAAGTAAACATTGTCAATTTGCTGGGGCTTATAAGAAGATACATCAAAAAACCCACACAGTAGTAGGTGTGGTTACTCTGAGTGTGTCCACTTGTCCCATTTATTTACAATGACATTTTCCTTCAGTCTGGGTGTGTCGGTCAATTTGTGCGTACTACAGACCTCTCGTAATGTGAATACACTGAGTTATGTACTTATGTATTCAGTCTCGGTGTGTCGGTTAAGCTGTCCATACTACAGACCTGTCGTAATGTGAATCCACTGACTTATGTAGTTATGTACAGAAATAGACTTTAGAATATTTAAAGTACATCTTAGGAGAAATGAGTGGTACAGTTTGAAATGAAATGGCTGTTATGGTTTTGTGTTACTTTTTAATGTTGACAGATGGCAGTCCAGTAAAGCTAAGTGACTTGACTGTCTGTGCCTTTGAGGCCTTGAAGAGAGATGACTGTGTGATGCCGTTAAAGGCTTCAAGTCAGCCACTGAGATGGAGTGGAGTAAAAATGAAATTATTATTTAATGATTGTTTTAGAGTCTGAGACGTGGACTGGCAGTTGATGATAAATGCTGTACGTAGTGTGCAATTGACTGTGTTGTATTTGCAGCTCCTTGACTTTGCTGCCATTTCTCCAATCATGGATCATGTCAGATGAAGTAGTCGCTGTGCAGTGTGTATCTTAGTAGATCATCAGTGAGCTCGAACCTTGCAATTGTGTGTGTTGCAGGTGCTTATGGGAGGTGGGCAGGAGGCCATGGAAGTGACCACAGGATTGGCAAGTTTGAGGCCAGGTGAGTTGAAGTGGTGTTTCTAGAGTATTATTGTGTGGTTGAATAAAGCATCCAGTGACTGTTGTCTTCATCGAAACAAATGAAAGAGATGAAGAAAAAATTAGCACTGAAGAAGCCATGACTTTGTTACAAACAAAGGCCTTTATGTAGTGATGACATATCTGTTTAAAGCATTGAATTTGTATTGTTGTTGATAGTGATATGTAAACATGGAGTTGTTATGAGTTTTGATTGTGCAACAGACTTTGCATTGTGTTTGTAATGTTGGCGGTGTTGTGGAAGAATATGTGGCACAGTGACGTGTTGTTGTAATATGCAGCTTCTACCAAGCTGTGTACGAGGAGGAGTTTGGCAGGAGTCAAAGGTCATCCACCCTGACAAGAAAAGGTAAATGAGACCGACACGGTTTTTGATAGTTCCAAAAATAGTTACATGGAGGGCAACTGGACAATGTTTTACCTCTACTCAAATGGCTTCTTTAGTTCAGCAGAACTGAAGAAGCCTAGTGGATGAGAAAATAAAGCTACGTTGTCCAGTTGCCCTCAATGTAACTACACTGCTCAAAAAAATAAAGGGAACACAATGTAACTCCAAGTCAATCACAGTTTTGTGAAATGAAACTGTCCACAAAACAGGAGTGGTTCTGCAGGTGGAGACCACAGACCAGTTCTCAGTTCCGATGCTTTCTGGCTGATGTTTTGGTCACTTGAACGCTGGTGGTGTTTTCATTCTAGTGGTAGCATGAGACGGAGGTTACAACCAACAGAAGTGGCTCAGGTAGTGGAGCTCATCCAGGATGGCACATAAATGCGAGCTGTGGCAAGAAGGTTTGCTCTGTGTGTCAGCATAGCGTCCAGAGCAAGGAGGCGCAACCAGGAGACATCAGGAGACGTGGATGAGGCCGTAGGAAGGGCAACAACCCAGTAGGAGGACCGCTACCTCCGCCTTTATGGAAGGAGGAAGAGGAGGAGCACTGCCAGAGCCCTGCAAAATGAGCTCCAACGGGCCACAAATGTGCACGTGTCTGCACAAACGGTCAGAAACAGACTCCACGAAGGAGTCACGGTGTTGGGTGGCATTTCTTTGGAGGGCTGCAAAGCTCTCCATGTGCTCGCCAGAGGTAGCGTGACTGCCATTAGGTACCGAGATGAGATTCTCAAACCCCCTGTGAGACCATATACTGGTGCGGTTGGCCCTGGGTTCCTCCTAATGCAAGATAATGCTAGACCTCATGTGGCTGGAGTGTGTGAGCAGTTCCTGCAACACGAAGGCATTGATGTTACGGAGTGACCAATTGCTCCAATTGAGCACGTCTGGACATCACGTCTCACTGCATCCACAAACGCCAAGTTGCACCACGGACTGTCTTGGAGTTGGCGGACGCTGTAGTCCAGGTCTGGGTGGAGATCCCATCTCATCAGGAGCATCTCCAGGCGTTGTAGGGAGGTCATTAAGGCACGTGGAGGGTACACACCCTACTGAGCCTCATTTTGACTTGTTTAAAGGATATGACATCAAAGTTTGAGTATAACTCCAAATCCAGACCTCCATGGGTTGATACATTTGATTTTCATTGATAGTTTTTGTGTGAATTTGTTGTCAGCACATTCAACTATGGAAAGAACAAAGTATTTATTAAAAAGATGTCATTCATTCAGTTTTCCCTTTATTTTTTGAGCAGTGTATGTTTGGATTAAATGACTGAGAACCTACACAGACAGCTTTTGATTGTGTTATTGCAGCTCATTGTAGTCATTAATTAACAGTGCAATGGAGGAGAAGACTTGTGAATACAGCAGCTAGGACTGTGCCAGGGAGAGTGGAGAAGCAACTATTTGAAGCAGATCCTTCAGCGTGGAGCCAGACTGGGCAGCTTCAACGTCAGCATTAAAAGGTATGAAAAGAAATGGATTTAAGCTGTTCACAGGTATTGACAAAGGAGTGAGTGACACCAACTGGACAAATCCAGTACAGGATTGATGGAAAAAGTTCAAGTGTAAAGTTTATTGAATAAATCAGCAGTTGAATGTAAAAATGTAGAAAATGATGGCTGCCTTTTTATGTTGAGAAATATTCACATGTTCCCCCATCAGGTGGAGTTTGTTAGTGCACTTAAACAAATTTGTTGTTGAGAGTTTAACATGATGTTGTGGACTATATTTATGCCACAGGAAGTTTGAATGTTGCCCTTTAAGAGTGTAATGTTTTTGTTTAGTTTGATACCGTGACAAGAATAGCCTGTGAGGAGGAGGTCCAGGAGTGTTGCCAACCAAGGGAAAGATTTTTAAGTGTAAAACCAAGAGGCTTCTTCAGTTCTAAGGGGGGAGGGGGGGGGCAGATATAAACTGTAGGTCTGAAAGACTAAAGGTACTTCTGCTCCACCCTGTTGGGTGGGGCCTTGGGGTCAAGTGTGAAAGTGTAAACAGTCATTGTGTCGTGGTCCGATCAGAAAGGTTTCAGTCATCTGCCTCTTTGTTGTGTGGAACTGAAGAGAATCTTTTGTCCCTAAAAGTGGTTTGTATGTGGGTGATAGGTTGTGTCTGAGTCCACTGCTTCTATTGACCGATGAGTGTGTGTTGTCCTTGAGGTGTATGTGAACAGCCGAGTCCTGTCCTGAGGAGTTGGGCGTCCTGTGTAGCAGTTGTTTAGTCTCACCAATGTACAAGTTAGTACACTCCTCACTGCACTGAATGGCATAAACCACGTTGTGTAGCTAGTTTGTTGGAGTGTGGTCTTTACGATGAACCAGTTTGTGTTGGTGTGTTGCCAGGTTTGAAGACAAACTGGTCACACAACCTGAATGAACACCAGACTAAAGGGGTGATTGCATGAATGATTGCACAGCCTTCAAGTTAAAGTAATGTATTGTTAAATGGACCAGACAAGTGGGTGTATGTAAACCTATGAACCTCAAGAATCTGAGGCCATTTGGGGAAATGAACTAGATAATGTGTCTTAATTTTCAGTGTGATTTGTTTTACCAGAGAGTTTCCAATTAGTCCCCGTTGGTAATGTAGTTCAAATCAGGGAAATAGGGATTTGATTTTGGGTGGTGAAATAGTCACATTGAATTTTCATATGATCCCAAATGTCTTTTTGTCTGTACACATTTTTCTGCCATTGTGGGAATCCATTGACCACGTTCCAATGTTCACACCATCCTCTATGGGCAGCTGATTCTGTTCACATGGGGCTTTGGACATAATAATGAAAGCACACATGTAGGTCATAAGGTTTGTAAGTATAGTTCCAATTGTTGTAATTAATCAGTGAACACAGATCGCCATTGTCTTACCTAATAAATATTCAAGAGTAATACCACCATAGTTATGTAAGCTTCCTCTTGTGTTCGCTTTCTGTTACCACCTGTTATATTGACCCGTGTGTTAAATTAGCGGTAAAATACACTAAAAACAATTAGCTATCATCCAATTAAAAAAATGGTAAAATGAACCTCAACAGAATCATATTAATAAATAAAAGGTATATAAATAAAAAGGACTATTACTAAGCATCAAGAAAAAGGCAAAACAGTTTTTTTTTTTATTATTTTATTTGCTCTGGTATCTCTGTTGTCAAATCTGAGGACTCTTGATATCATGCGAAAGGTCTGAAGTGACATTGTTGAGCGGAAAATATTTCTGCCTGTCGATGCGTCCCAAAGACTATCACTGGCCTCATTGCAGGATCTGTACACTCCAGCAAGAAGAAGAACACCAATACAGGCATCCAGGTATTCCTCATCAATGTCTTTCCACATGTCGCCCTGGACTTTTTTTCCTTCCAGGTTTGTCATAGCAATGATGACTCTTTTTAGTGACAATGGCATAAATAGCTCAAAACATGTCTTGATGTCACTGACTCTTGTCACAGCAAACCTTGTGATTCCAGGGGTCATTTTGATGACATTTGCAGCAGCTGCCCTGCCATGTTCATCATGAGGTATTTGTTTTGTTTTTGTGCAGGAATACTGGAAAACAAGGCAAAATGAGCATCCCCTAAAGCTCACATGATTGGGAGAGGAGCTGTCTGTCAGTGTTTTGGCTGACAGTGCACTTATGATTTAAGTTTTGGTTGTAATTATTGTTTTATAATAAGACTTTTATAACCGGGTCGAAACCGACCCGAACAACACAAAGGTCATAATTTAAACCAGAGCATTTTATAATTTAGTGAAAATTTTTTTTGTTGTTTTATGTTGTTGAAATAGAGGTTCTTGACAAAGTCAAAAAGCCTTGACGCAATAAATAAATTTACGTGTTTTGTAATGCATTTAAAACTTGGAAACAGGTCGGTGCCGAGCCGAACACCAGAGGAAGGTTAAACATTTAGAATAATTTGTTGCTTCAGTGTTTTGTCTTTTTTCTGTGTTGTGTGAATGGTGTTGCTCTGCAGGATTGTTCATCATTGATGGGTGGTCAGTGGTGGTGTAGTTTTTCTGTAGCTCTTTGTCTTTTAGAGTGAGTACGATAGGCAGCACCAGGACGACTCCTGTGACTATCAATGGACATGCAGAGAGTCGCATTGGAACTTCCAATGTACGGAAGGGGTGGCACGGTTTTGGCTTGGGTCGAGTATGTTCTGTCGTCATGATTTTGAGAGGAGAGGTTTGCAGGAGTACGGTTAGCCCAATACAGCAATCATGGTAAATGGCCGAGGATCTCCCTGCGTCACCGACGTAGAGATTTACAGCTTTTGTAATAGCTACAGCCCTTTGTAGTGGGACTTCCCCTCAACCAATTGGATCCTTTACCAAGAACCTCTGTGTCTTGCAACGTGAAAGATGAATCCAAGGTGGTCGATCAGCAATCTTTATGGCTGTAGGTGTCGTCAGCAAGAGCCGGTATGGGGCTTCCCACTTTGGAGTCGACCAACACTTTGGCGTACTGTCACGTTGCGAAGATGTAGGAGTGTCTGGCATACAGTTAGAATGTCTTTTGTGTTCAGCATCTTAGTCATATAGTCTATTAAGTCCATATTGTCAGGATTTTGTAGAAAAACTTGAAGTTCAGGTATTTTATATGGTCGTCCATGTATTATTTCAAATGGTGTCAATGCTGTTTCAACATTTGATGTGATTGTCATATAAAGTTTTACCATGTTTATGATTGTAGTCCATGGTTGTTTTGTTTCTTCCATGCATGTTGTAAGTGTTAATTTCACTGTCCAATTTGTTCTTTCCACAAGCTCTGCAGTTTGTGGATGATAAGCACAATGGTTATTTAAATTTGTTTTAATGTATTGACTTGTGTTTGATATGACTTGGTTCACGAAATGACTTGCATTGTCACTGTAAATGGTTTGTGGTATACCAAATCAATCATGGTCAATAAAATTTGACTTTTGTAACAAAAGAATTTATTGGAAAAAACATTAAAGAGTTTTTTCCAATAATTAGATTGATTTATGAAAGAAGTAAAAGGGTAAAACGTCCAAGGGGTTGAATACGTATGATAGGCACTGTATATGTGATGTAGTAGAAGCAGGACAAAAAGAGACTAAAGAGAGGACAAGTGTGTGTGGTGTTGTACAACAGGAAAGGTGTGTTTCACCGTTGAGGTCAGAGTAGGAAGAGGGCCTTGGCTGATTCAACTGTGTACCTTGACCTTGTCAGAAGAAGTTGTACCGTGGGGTTGCTGTTGTAGTGGAACGTGTTACGGAAAGGTGAAGAAAGTAGTAGTGAGCGACTGAAGGTGGTCTGTGTGAGGTGGTAGGTAAAGAGTGGAAGTAGGTGGTTGACATGAGAGTTGTGTGAAGTGGGCTGTTAGTGTTGCTACAGTTGTGGTAGGAAGTAGGAGGCGTGTTCAGTTGCGAAGGGTAAGCGGTTCCTTGGTCTGGCTCCGTTTGTCTGTGTAAGTGTGGCTGGTTGAGGTTAGAAGTACATGTTGCTGTAGTAAATGTTATGCAAAGGTCAAGGTACACAGTTGAATCAGGAACAAACTGGCACCCACAATGTGTTGGGAAGAATGATTTAGGGGGGAAAAAAGAAAAGAGAAAAAAAAGTATATATAATGTGGGATTGATTGATATGTATTTGCGGAAAAGTGCGTTTTTACCAGGTCATAAGTTTACGTACGTTTGTCTTTTTAAGGTGTAGTGCTTGGTAGCATTTCCATTAAGTGTTGTAACTTTAGCAAGGCGCTTTGGATAGCCATCAGTGAGGTTGTCACAGTTATCTTTTGGAGTTTTTAGCCAGTGTTGTCGGCAGATTTGGTGGTCTTCTGTTATGGAGATGTTTCTTCAGTTGAGTCCACAAGTTGTCGATAGGAATCAGGTTAGGGCTTTGTGAAGGCCACTCCAGTAGTTTCACCTTGTTGTGCTGAAAGCATGTTGAATGTAATGGAGCTTTATGTTTTGGATAGTTGTCCTGTTGAAAGAGCCACTTTTGAGCAAGCTGCAGAGGTTTGGCTGACTTTTCTTCCAATATTTCCAAGTATTGCTGTTATGTCATGATTACATGGATGGTTTGGAGTTTAGTAGTTCCTGATGCTGCAAAGCAACCCCACAACATCAGAGTTCCTCCACTGTGGTTGAGGGTTGGGATGGTATTGTAGGGATTAAAGGCTTCAGCCTTTTGCCAGAGAACGTATTGCTGGTCGTTATGGGCAAACAGTTGATTTTTGGTGTCATGTGACCACATGATGTTCTTTCAGAAGGCTTGATGTTTATCCTGGTGTTGTTTAGCAAAGTTCAATTGAGCTTTTCTGTGTCTCTGTTGGAGTCATGGCTTCTTTATGGCCCGGTATCATGTTAGTCCATGTCGACTGAGAGCTGTCTTCACCGTGGACACAGACATTTGTTCCTGAGGCAGCCAAATCACTGCAGAAGGCTTTGTTGGTGATGTTGGGGTTCATTTTAGCATTTCTTAACAAAAGGTTTTCATGTGTGGATGTTAAGTTCTGTTTCAAGCCAGGCACTAGGGTACATGAAGCTGTGTTTATAGGGGCGGTTCCCAAGGCCGGGTAAATGGTGAGGGTTGCGTCAGGAAGGGCGTAAAAGGTTTAGCTAAATAAAATATGCAGATCAATAAAACGATTTTCATACGGGATGGGTCGAGGGCCGGGTTAACAACGACCGCCAACAGTACAGTTGACCAACAGGGCACTGATGGAAATTGGACTTCTGTTGGTCAGAGAGAGAGAAGAAGAGGAGGGCGTTTGGTTAGGAGAAAAAGAGAAAAGATGAAGAACAGAAATAGCTGATGTGATGGAGAGAAGAAGAGTAGATATTTTGTGTGTGCAGGACAGCAGGTGGAAGGACAGTAAAGCTAGAAACATGGGAGGAGGCTACAAACTGTTTTATCATAGTACAGATGGGAAGAGAAATGGAGTAGGGGTGATCCTAAAGGAAGAACGCATAAGAAAGGTGGTGGAGGTGAAAAGAGAGTCAGACAGGTTGATGTGTGTGAAGGTAGAAGTAGAAGGAGAGAGGATTAATGTTGTTAGTGGTTATGCCCCACAGGTGGGCTGTGAGTTGGAAGAAAAGGAGAAGTTGTGGAAGGAGCTAGATTGGATGGTCAAGGGTATCCCCAGGAGAGAGAGAGTGGAGATTGGAGCAGACCTAAATGGTCATGTAGAATGAACAGCACACTAAAGGGATGATTGTATGAATGAGTGCACAGCCTTCAAGTTGAAGTAATGAAGTTGACAAGTGGGTGTATGTAAACATGTGAACCACAAGAGTCTTAGGCTATTTGGGGAAATCAGCGAAATATGTGTGTCAGGTCAGAAATAGTGATGTAGTGTATTGGCAGTATAGAGCGAAACAAACGATGTAGGATGAATGAAGTTTGGTTGTGGAAAGGGTGTGTTGTTAATGGGGTAAAATAAATAAAAGGAAGGATGGGGAGCGCGAATAGACGAGGAACTGTGCTGTGTTAGCGGAGTGAAGGAGTGAAATTTGGAATGACGTCCAGAGAGTTGGACGTAGTCAGTGATGCACAATCATGGAGAGTGTGTTTGATGTAAAGTTAGAAGAGATGAACCTTTGTTATGGAGCGAGGTGTGCAGTACCGACCGAAGAGGGGACATGTCATTTCCAAGGGCTGTTGCGGTGGTGTCCAAAGGACCGACGTAAGCACAACAGAGGGAGAGAAATGACGTGACGCTCCTGTCGTCTGAATGGTGGTACTCGATGGCGTAGCGGCTGGGCGAGCAGTGGGGCGATGAATGTTCAGTTTGCACGTGTCCTCCTGGAGGCAAAATGGTGCAAAATGACATGGTGTAATTAGTGAAGGCTTTCTGTTGTTATCAGGAAATCTGAAGGAGTTGACTGTGTATCAGTGTTTGTTGGATGAGTTTTTATTGGCTGTGTAGAGGTGAACATGAACGGACCGATGGGTGAAATGAATGTGATTGTATTAGTAATTAAAAAGAGTGGGAATAGAACAAATCAAGTGCCTCGGCTGAGTTAGTTTGTTTGTGTTGTACGATGACAGTAGTATTTGTGGAATGGTGAAGGTTGTCATGATTTCAGGATAGTTGTCAGAGGAATGTGTGCGAATGCAGTGGAGAAGCAGTTTGGTGAATGGAGGTTTGTCGTCAGGGGTGTAGACAAATGTGGTGTTAATGAAGAAAGAAGGGGGGGGTGAGGAGGAGGAAGAGAGTCAGGAAGTAAGTGTATGTGAGGAATAAATCTGTGTTAGGTGTGTGTTATATCAAGCAGAAGTAGTGTTAGAGGGGAGATAGTTAAGAA